CCAATGTTCGTTAGAGGGCTCTGGTGCTTGACAGTCAATATTTTCACAAAAGCACATGGTGAAGTAAGAAGTAGACTTAAATCTGTCTGGAAGTAAAGCATTACCACACCATGATCAGAAATGTAGGGTGGGTGATGTGGTGGTTTGATGAGTTCTGTCCTTAGGGTGCCTCATTTTCAAGCCGCCATTCTGTGAAAAACAAGGTACAAACCCATGTGCATCAGGGCAAATCTGTACACAAGACAAGTGGCTGTGTGCTGTGAAACACAACTGCAAGTAAAAAGAGGAACCTTCATAATTTTGCTGGGTGTTGTGGATGTTTCTTACTGTCCTACATATTCCTCTTCTCTGTAAGCTTGCTCACAAGTCCAGGACTAGCTAGCTGCCCACACTGACCATGCTTTCATTTGTCATGTCGCAGCCACAGTAACAGCAGATCTAAGATCTTTGCTGCTGTCTGCTAGTACTAAACAGAAGAAAAAAAAAATGTTGATTCCAAATTAATCTCCAAATTCATAAGAACCCATTTGCATGTATCTGATATGCATTTCACCATTTATATTTTTGAAATAGTGACAGTAAATTTTAGCTAGTAAATGATCTGTGAACATACTTTGGCATTCCATGAATGTGTCATAACCGTTCAGTTAAAGGCTTGTATTTAAGCCTTGTAATTGCTCAAGCACTAAAGGCCACAATTATTTCTTTGGTAATTCAGGTCTGATTGACTAGATAAATCACGTGGACTGTTTCTGCTTCAGGATTTGATGCCTTCCTGATCCACAGAGATATTTCTGAATTAGTACATGAACATTTCTGCCATAAATAGTCATAAAAGTGATGACAGGGATATGCAAAATATTTTTTTTTATTTTCACAGCCCTTCCTGGAATGAAATATTGTTTGTAAATTAAACTGTAGATTTCTTTGAGAGTTTTAACTTACGAGTTAGCAGGTTCGGTAACTTTAAACAAGCTGAAAGGTATAATAAGCTTAGTTACCTTTAAATAATTACATAGAAACCTGTGTTTCTGTAGCTAATGGTTAGGATTTCTGTGCTGCATGAACATCAGGTGACAAATAGGGTACATGCATGTTAATGCCTACACAACTACACAACGTGAGACCACTGCAGAGAAAAAAACAATCAAGTGAGAGCTAGGTATCTGGAAACAAGTGTCTCAGAAATGAGGCTTTGATACCAATGACAGAAGGATGTCAATGGATTCTAAGAAGTCCCACAAGACTTGTCAGACATGCCATATTAAAATTTAGTGAATGAGGATAAAACTTTAATGTGTCTTCAATCCCCTGACCTAGATAAAGTTGTTAATTTTTGATTTATAACTGGGTATGGAATTTTAATCTGCATTAAAAAGAGAAATTTTCCATTTCAGTGGAAGAATTTTCTTTTAACACTGGGAGTCTTACACCAAACTCTACTAATGTGATGTACTACCACCAAACCAGTACTGAGTTTGGGCTTATCTCTGGCCTCCATACATACAAAACTCAGTTATTTGCTCTCTCTGTACAAAATGGATTGTGAATATACATTCAGGTGTCAGGTGCCTAACAAGCACTTCAGTTTTCAGTTTTGAAATGTGACTCTCGTCTTCTTATGAAGACTCAGTTTTTCATCGGTCTTTTGCTTCTCCTCTTCCAACTCTCTTCTGCACTATCAATTTGCTGGGAGGTCCTATTGTATATAGACATCCAAGACACACTTAGAAGCATTCCAGTTACGCAAATCAACATCACGTGTTTTGCATAATCCTGCACCTCTCTGTTTAATTTACTGGATTTTTTTTTTTCTAAGTGATGTGTAATCTTAGCTTCAGAATGATGCTGGAGAATCATTCAAACTGCAAAGGAGAGTCTGACCCCGTTCAGAGGTGAGACATATCTGGGCACTGTCCTCCTGCTGTGCAAGTTACTGGATGTGCAGCGGACAGCCTGCACTTGGTTTTGGGGTATTCAGGGTTTAGTTTGGAGTATCTCCAGCAGCTGGATGTAAAGCTAAACCTCTACAGAAGCTCTGATTTTGCTCTCTGTTTTAAAGCTAGAAAGCTTATAGCTGCACATTATGTCACGCGTCTTGTGGTACATTGCAGTGCTTACCAAGCACTGCAGAGTTTGAATGTATGTGGTATTCATCCCACGTTAGCTCCTCCTTGAGAAGTTTTTATCCCAGACAGACTTTGCTAGCTGTATCTTGTTGCATTGCTAATCAATGATGTCCCTCTCTCACAGAAGTGCTGGTCTCAGCACTGGGTGTTCAGTGATGGCATAGCTTTCCTTCATTCTCATCCAGTGGAGCTAGCACCTGTACTCACGCCTTTCTTACTTCTTCTCTGTCTAGGCTTCTCCAGCTGCATCCTTCTAGCCCATGGGTGTCCAACCTTTTGGTTTTCCTAGGCCGCAGTGAGTGAAGAACTATCTTGGGCTGTGTATAAAATATGTACATCACAAATAATGCTTCCTATTTATTTCCACGGAAAATAAAACAGATAAAAAGAGCACAATAATGCTATTTCATGGAGCAAATTCTCAGCTGCAAAACACTGTTTTTCAGCATTGCCACTGTGAGATACGCATTTTTACCACTGATGAACAAGAGTCTGCATGCCACGTTTGTAAAAATCTGCACCAGCAGCAGTGACCCACTGTTGCTGTCCCCACTGCTGCTGTCACTACTGAAACACACTACCTGCTGCCTCCAATCCACTGATTGGTCTCCAGAAACATTCAGCAAGTGTCAATGAATGCCAGTGGGTGCCATTTTTCCCTTGTGGAGGAATTCAGTTCCACCCATTTGCTTCATCTACACTTTCATATTAGATGAAATTCTGTCAGACTGCCCCTCTGCTGCCATCTCTTGAACAGCAACAACATGTGATGGAATATTGGTGGGAAGGTTTTTGATAAAATTTTACTCTTCCTCTACTTCATCCTTGAAAACAGTTGTTCACAAATATATGTATCACCAAGAAATGATGACACGAATAAGTGATGACTGTGAAGTGAGGTCTATTTCTGCTAAGACAGGAATTATAAAGGTTTGATATAGAGGCATGGTCAGATTTTTGAGTTGAATACCTGATTGCAGCTCTGTGTACTCTGTTTGAAAATTTGTAGATAATATATTTATGTCAATTGATGGTGTGAGGTAGGGGGTGGTTGCAGGGCAGGCTGTGCTGGGTTGTATACAGCTGTGGGCTATGAGCTGGGTTTGCCTGCTCCAGCCTCAGCACAGAGAGATACAGAGAGAAAAGAAAGCAGAAAGATAATAGCCACCTGCTGTGGCACTGACTTTTGGAGCCAACGGCCCAAAAGGAGTAGCCACGGAGAGTAGTTTTGAAGACCACAGTGAGGGAAAGGCTGATGCTACTGCTTTGTGTACAAACTGTTGGCAATATGAAAAGAAAGCAGTGTTGAGCTGAGCTGGAGAAGACCGTGTGAGAGCTCAGGGTGAGCAACCGCTGGTGAGATGGGCTTTGGAAGATCCCCCAGGCATCATGTTCCTTGGCAGACGTCTCCTGTTGAGCCCCAGCTATTCATAACAGTGACAAACCTTGAGGAAGCCAATTTATACATGCGCGTGGGTGGAATACATGTGCTTGTATAATGAGTGCATGTTTGTGCAATGCACAAAACCATAGGCACCATCTCTAGATGTCACCTTTGCTAGTTCATTTTAAAAGCTGCTTCCAGAGGTGAATTCCTACCCAGTGCATCTGGAGCTTGAAGTTCGTGGAGAGGAAGGAGGTGGGATGTGTGGGACAGCCACAGTATCACATTGCCCTCTAGTGACAGGCTACCTCATTATGTTGGTTCTCACACCTCAAGTTGTACCCAGCGTTGCCTTCATTGGGTTTCTAGATATCCAGACAGAGATGGCATGGCAGCAGTGGATATGAACATGCCATTGAATATGGACTTGGGGAGTCTTGAAGCTGAGGTTTGTTTCCATAGAGCTGCTGAGAACAAAACAAAAAAAAAAAACCAACAGCCCCATCATGAGTTCCTAGCTGCTGGTTCCAAGACCAAATAAATATCTATTTACAGTCTGTGGACATTATGAAGTCAGCCTACCAGAAGGAAGGGAATTTGCCTCCTCAGTGGCCATCCCACCATTAACCACCATTGTTCTTTAGAGCAAAAAGGGGTCGCCAGTTAAAGCTTCTGCAGTACCAGATGCAACTCTGTTCTCACTGAATAGAAGTTAATGAAAATACCAGATTTTGGTGACATGGCCAAGCAAAATCTTTTTCTTTTGTACTTTCTTCTTCTACATAAAAATGAGCAAGTTGGGTCTGATTTCATCAGCAAATCACAAACACCTTCTGGCAAAGAAGGGATTTATATTCCCACCTACAGAGGAAAACAGCAGTTTATAATGGCTATCAACCCCAGGTTTGTACAACAGCCTCATTACACTAAAACATTACCTTATCTTTTGCTTAGTTTCATACTGCCTTTGACTTGTGAACATTTCTTGACATTTTCTTATGCTATTGTGATATTATTTCTGATAATTAGAAAGCTGATCAGAGAAAAAAGATTGTTTTCATGATGTTTTTTGAAGGTTGTACATCCATTTTTTTTCCACAGTGAAACAAAGTCACAACCTTATAGTTAGATTATGTGAAAATGTTTGAAGCAAAATGTCAGTTTTCAGATAGAGATAGGAAATATTTCCAGACCTTTTTAGCTTCCTTGTTTTCCTTCTGAAATTGGCATGGACCATGAGGAAAAAAAGTCCTCTTATAATGTCGTTGGAATGAATGCTTTTCTGCAAAACGTTTTAGACCTAGTATAAAGCATTCTAACCTACTTCAATCTACATGACTATTCCTATGTTCAAAAATCCTGCTGAAGAGAAGCTCATTTTATAATCACTGTTTACATTTTTCGATGTGACAATTATTTTTTTTAACTCTTTTCAGCTTTGTGCCTGAAGATTGAAAAACTGTGTCCTTTGCACTTTGCAGGTAATATGAACACATCATGAAATCAGAGTCCCGTTGCAGTCAGTTGTGAAACCAAACTTCTTTGAACAACAAATTTCAGCAGTGCTGTTATCTAAAAGGTAATTACATTCTTAGTCTTTTTTTTTTTAATTAAATTTGATTAATGTTCTGAACTCATTTTGCAGATTCTTTTACCATGCCTTCTTGGATAGTATAGCAGCTGAATAAGACCTTGTTTCCTCTTTAATAATGAACTACCTCCCACTGCACCAAACAGAAACTTCTTGTTCTCTAGCAAACTACCAACCGATCCGGGAGAAGAACTTCAAAAAGTTAAAATTTTGACTCGCCATCCTTGCAGCATCATTACAGAAAGAGGGACTTTTTCAGTTACTCTGTTCATTACTGAGATGAGTAGGAGTAAGCATGACAGAAATCTTAATCAACAAACAAGCAACTTGGGACTGAGAAGAATTGGTTGCACAAAAAAGCAAGAAAATAATAATATCCATGTGCCAGCTCTGCCTTTTACCTCTGGCTGTTTCTGTCCTTTCTAGTTCCACTGGTTATAGAAAGCACTCCTTTGAGCATGCAGAGGTGATACTTGGTTGTTTCAAATTGAAGTTATGGAAATCCATTTGATTTTATGTTTTAATTATGAAGGCACATTTAATTTTAAAGTTCCTTCTATTGCTTATGCATTTCTACTTGGTTATTATCTTCCTAGCTTCACAATAATACATTTGATTGGATGGGGTCATCATTCTGTCCAGATGTGCATGTGGCAATTTTTTATCCATGTGTGATAATCTATAAATGAATAGAAAATATCCGATGTTGGGAAATTCTCCTACATGGACCATTTTCACTAGGCTTCAGTTTTTCCTCAGAAATCCGTGTGACACCAAGAGCATTTTGCATATGCTCACTTAATCTAGCTCCTTCTGAAGTAGTTTTAAAGGACTGGGCTGTCTTTCCAATAATTTTTTTATTCTGTTAATCTTTTTACTTGTATGCTATGGCCATTCGTTTGTAGCACTGAAAAACTGTGAAGCTATTTTTCTAATATTTAGCTCAGAAAACTCAAAGAAATGTCCTTAATTTTTTTTTAAACAATTTTGTTTTGTTTTACTAAATTCTCCTTTTAGTATGCAATGATTAAGCTTTGTAAAGTCAAAATCAGAAAGGGGAGCAAGTTGACATTTGTATGGTGATTTTTTATATTGTTGTGTCACTGGTGCATTTGAAGGGAATTGAATCCCTTTTGGAGGACTCAGAGAAATGAGACCAGTTTCTGAAGACCAGGGTTGCCCACCCAGAGGCAGCACAGTTTGTGAAGGTTGTCCACCCTGCACTGATGGGTACGAACATATTGTGCTGGGGTCACATCACCCACTTTTCACCATAAACAGTAGGAAGTAGTTTAAGCTGCTTCAGATATGTTCACAGTGCAGACAAAAAAACAGTGACTGTAAAGTGGCTGTACCCTGATGCAGGAACCTGGAAAAAGGTGTGTGAGGAATTGCAGTACTAATGCTTACAAAATATAGCTTAATAAACCATAAGTTAGCACCTATCCTATGGCAGTGGTTAGCGCCTGTATCCATGCTAACTTCTGTGGGGAGTAAATTGCAAGTCTTTATTCTGTTCTCATTTGGTTCTTATTTGGAGCCTGTAAAGCTTCTCTTGACTTTAAGGGTGGGGAGAGGACAGTCTCATCTCTCCCTGTTTCCAACCAAGCACTTATTTTTCACCTCCATCTGAGGTGCAAAACCTCAGCTTGTTAGGAAAGTCTGCCTTGCAGCAGAGTGTCTGAATGTACAAATCTGCTCACAACCACAGCTGGAGTGGCTTACAGTGAAGACAGGTCATGCTGGGATCTTTCACTTTGGCACCAATTATATTTTTCTATGAAAGCACAAGAGAAAATACAACTTCACGATTTAAAGTCAATAGAATCTGCAGAGCATAGAGCAACTTGTCTTTTCATATGCTGCTCTTTGTAGATACAATATGTTAAGAACTTAAACTCATGCCTAGCCCTGGGGCTTAGTTGCCTATCTGTACTGTCGGATCTGTCCAACTAAGAGAAAATCATCTGAAGGTAAGGCCCAGGAATATTTTGAAGAAAGTGCTGTTAGGGTAAGCCCTGTCAAGACTTTGTTCCGATGAAGCAAACTTCTTAGTATGTGATGCTTTAAAACAACAAAATGAAATATACTTCATGGGCTTTTAAAACTTTGCTGCTTAAGGTAACTCATAGAATTTACTGGACCTCATTGAACTTTGGAATAACAAGCCTTGTAACTAAAGAAAGAGTAATAATGAAATAATACAGAACTGCTACTGGATTGATGATGCTCTTGCTCAAGAATTATGCTGTTCAAGACCTACGATTTCTTTAAGCTTTAATAGCATATCCTGAGACTTTAATTATTAAATATAACACTGGACTCAGTAGGGTTTCTGAACAAGTGATCATAGTATCGTAGAATCATGGAATCATAGAATTGCATGGGTTGAAAAGGACCACAATGATCATCTGATTTCAACCCCCCTGCTATGTGCAGGGTCGCCAACCACCAGACCAGGCTGCCCAGAGCCACATCCAGCCTGGCCTCGAATGCCTCCACAGATGGGGCATCCACAAGGGCATCCTTGGGCAAACAGTTCTGTCAAAAATTTTACTAACGGTTATGTTTAAGCACTGCTGAAGCAGTTTATTCATTTTGCTTCCTTTTGCCCACGAGCACAGGTGGAATTTGACTGCTTTGACTGTGCTTTGCTTTGAATTATTAGACTCATTCTAAACCTCAAGAAAACCTGGAACAGTAGTTGAAGCTCAAGACAAGAATTCCATAAAATGAGATATGAAATAAAAGCTAAGGTTTTTTTCATTGTCACTGATATGCAATGTTGTTCTAGATCATTCCTGTTACTGCTTAGTTTTCTGCAGTGACATGTAAAATCATCATAATTTTTTAAATAGTTTTGCTACTCATTTGGTGACTAATTCCAGATCAAGGAAAGGACTCTGACTCTTCATCTGAATCTTTCACAGAACTTGGCCTTGTTTGCTTTCTACTGCTAGCAAATGTTACTTCAAGAGAAACTACAAGCTGTGTCATATGTAGTGGAGCAGTATTTTGACTGGATTGGTGAATTCAGATGTTTTCTTTCGCTGAGTATGAATGTGAAGTGTGAGCTCATATATGGTATTTACACCACCTGAAATCAGAATTAGTGGGTATTTGCACTAGAAGTGCAATCGACAGAACAACGTATGACTCACTTGATCAATCACAGCTAGCCAATGCCACTAAAGCAATAAATATTGAACACTTCATAGAATAGCTCATGATGCATCTGGAGATAATAATCTCCCTCCTAGATAATTGTTTGGATAATTGTGTTGTATAATGGTTTTGGATAATTATCTGAGTAATGAACATATTTAGAGGAACTGTGGTCTTCTCTTACAATGTAATGAGTATAAAAGTTACAAATTAATATGATAATCTATTGGCTTTGGTCAGTCACTCATTCATTTCAAATTACAGTGGAGCAAAAGAGTGATTGCCTTTTTGAATTAAACTGCTTTAGCAAATTTGGTGTGCAAACACTCGCATTTGAACCCCTACTGCTCTGTTTTCTGTTTTCTTTACCTTTAATTTTCCATCCAGGGGCTCAAGGCAAATGGCCAGTTGTGCTTTATGGCTAAGTGGCAGCATGATCTCTGCAGTAATATCAGCTTTATAGAGGCATGTGCTCAGCAGAGGTCCAGACTCTGTGCTTTTTCTCTCCTTTGTGTGAGGATTTTGCTTTTGCTGTAATTGTTTTGGAATTAGATTGTGCTGTGGAATGAGTCATCTGCACAGACCATAGACCATGGGCATCTTTGCAGTTTCTTTTCTCAAATGATAGCCTCACTGTTTGCCTTTTTTAGCTTGTGCTGAGCGCTGCTGTGGGGTACCAGAGGTAGAGCAAGGTGACTGTGTGGTGCTGCCACCAGCTGCCCTGGGGGAGAGAGGAGAAGGGAAAAGCAGAAGCCCCTCTCCTGAGATATGTACTAAGGCACCCCTGGAGCTCTTCTCAGCCCAGCTTACTGAATTAAAGTGACTGAAAGCTCAGCTGAGTAAAAGAAAAAGAAAGAGAAAAAAAAGAAAAGAAACACAAGAAAAAGCCATAGGCTTGTCTTTGAAAATGCCTTCTGAGTTCAGTCTAAAATATCTCTCTGCCATGAATAAAAATTTATGCGCAAAAACTATGAAGGAAAGTAGCTGGGCAAACGTGCTGCTTTTGCACAGCTTAGGAACCATGGTGTCTATCTAATTCTCCAATTTACAAGTGGTGGGGAGAGTTCTCTGTGGTAGTTCAACTGAAGTGGATTCATTTTCTGGCATTACCAAGCCTGCTGATGCATGGTTTGTGAACTCCGTGCTAATCAACATTGCATGCTTCATGTGAAATTAAAAAAAAAAAGAAGCTGTTCATAAGCCACAAAGAGTATAACCCTGAACTTTTTCTGTTGCTTTTCAAGCTGTGTGCTCTGCAAGGGGCAGGTGGATGTGGGAGAGGGAGATGCAGGACTCTGCCAAGCCTGTCCCCTCCTGCCTTCTTGCTCTCTTTGCTACGTCCATCTTTGTGCCATGCCAAATCCTACAAGCTGCCTATGGTTGACAGTTCTTATCTGTGCATAACCCTTGCTCGCTGTCTTGAAATGCCAGGACTGGGATGTGTCCAACTTGGGCTTAGGGCACAGGGAGCATGTCTGTTGCCCTCTCCCTTTCTGTGTGCCAGGGATGATGCTCACCTGATCTAAGGTGGTCAGCACTGGAAAAGAGGTAGCACTTCAGGCTGGTACCTTGCATGAAATGCTGCTGCAGCACTGCTCTTCCCTTCTGCACTATGCTTGTGTGAAATTGTCATGCTGCTGGACATTGTGGCCATGCCATCTTGTCCTATTGCTATTCCCAGATAACAGCAATAGGATGAGAGAGAATGGCCTCAAGTTGCATCTAGGGGGGCTCAGGTTGGATATTAGGAAAAACTTGGAAGGAGTGGTGAGACAGTAGCACAGGCTGCCCAGGGAGGTGGTGGAGTCACTGTCCATGGAGGT